CTGTAGTTCTGCTACTTTGAAGGCTGAGACAGAAGGATCGCCAGAGCCCAGCAGGTTGACACTGGGGTGGCCATGAGTATGCCACTGCACTCCTGCTTGGGCTCCTGAGTGAGATTCCAAATCAAAATAAAAAACATAAATAAAGTTACATGGTGCTAACTCCTCATCAGTAAAAACTGACATAGATAATGGCCGAGCATGGTGGCTCATGCCTGTAATCCCTGCACTTTGGGATGCCAAGGCAGGAGGATCGCTTAAGTCCAAGAGTTTGAAACCAGCCTGGGCAACATAACACCACCTCATCTCTACAAAAAAAAAAAAAATCAAAAAATAAGCTGGGTGTGGCGGCGCATGCCTATAGTCCCCCCTTCTCAGAAGCCTGAGGTGGAAGGATCACCTGAGCCCTGGAGGTCGAGGCTGTGGTGAGCCATGATTGTGCCACTGCACTCCAGTCTGGGCAATGGAGTGAGACCCCAATTCAAAAAAAGTCCACATAGACAAAAGCTCTTGGAGGTCTTCAGTGATTTTAGCACTGGAAGGAAGTCCTGGGACCAACAAGTTTGAGAACAGCTGTAATAAACACCAAGGAATAGAATATTTTAAGATTCCATTTACCTATCGTGTTTTAATTTTAGTTTTATTATTTAGACAGATGAAAATGACTTTTAGAAAGCAATTCTGAGTTGTACTAAGTGGATATCTGTATCTCACTCCAGAAGAGATGTTTGAGCTTCTGGAGAAGCACACCACCATTGAGCATTGACGATACATACTACTGGGCCCTCTCCTGAGCAACCGGGAAAAAGAGCTCCAGTGACTGACCTCAGCCATGAGGTGGGCTGGGACCCACAGCTAAGACATGTTGCCAAGACACTTTGTTGCTCCACCTCCTGCTGTGCAATTCCCTTGTAAATACGTGTGGGGGAAAGAGGGTCTTCCTTTCCTGCACAACATTCTCCAGATTTCACATTATACTTAAATTCCTACCAGAGGCTGATTAAGGGAGACAGCCTCAACAACCTCGTCTTGCCTTTCTTTTTCAGAAGATGTAGAGGGGAAAGTTTCAAAAGAGAGTTCAAAACACACTCTTCACTGGGTTTTCAAGGTAGAACTTAGAACCCATGCTCTGTATTTTACTCTCACAACCACAGGGAAGATTCTGGGGACGATGTCAAGTGAGTGTATCCTTTTTTTTTTTTGAATCGGAGTCTCATTCCATCATCCAGACTGGAGTGGAGTGACCGCTCCCGGCCACTGCAGCCTCGACCTGCTGGGCTCCAGCGATCCTTCCACCTCAGCCTTCCAAGTAGCCGGAATTACAGGCACGCGCTACCACTCCCGGCTGATTTTTTTATTTATTGTAGAGATGAGGTCTTGCTGCCCAGGCAGATCTCGAACCCGTGGGCTCAGGCAATCCACTCACCTCGGCCACCCAAAGCACTGGGATTACAGGCTAAACTATGGAGCCCAGACCATTCTGTATGTTTTGATATGTGGCTGTGGCACTGTCAGATATTTAAATTCTATATATATTTTATATTATTTGATTGTTGATGCATAATATAAGTATAAAATGGACAAAGAATATTGTCTCTATGAATTTGACCCTTTGGAATTTTTTGTGATATCTTCTGCTGCATAGGTTAAACTTTTAAAATAATTTAGATATCTTCATAGTGTCATTTTATTGTATATATTTAACTATCATTTTATGTTATATCAACTTTTTTTTTTTTTGAGTTGGAGTCTCACTCTGTCACCCAGACTGAAGTGCAGTGGCTGCTCCCAGCCACCACAGCCTCGACCTGCTGGGTCTCCAGTGATCCTTCCACCTCAGCCTTCCGAGTAGCCGGAATTACAGGCACCGCTACCACGCCCGGCTGATTTTTTTATTTATTGTAGAGATGAGGTCTCGCTGCCCAGGCGGGTCTCGAACCCGCGGGCTCAGGCAATCCACTCACCTCAGCCTCCTAAAGGCGCAGGATTACAGGGTGAGCCACCGAGCCCAGCAGGAGAGTGTATCCTATGAAAACAGCAACTAGTTCCAGAAAGCAATTTATTGTAGGGAATTTATCCAAGCTCAGTACAAGGCTGTCCATTTTTTTTCTTAATGCTTTTTCATAAATTCCAACTCAGGCTGAATCCTATTAGCTCAAATCCCAAATTAATAGACTCTGAATGGAGTTCTTTCTGAAGGCTGGCTCCACTCTCAAGGGCCAGGGTTCCAACCTGTTACTGAATCCAGCCATGTTTTCCATCTCTCTCCACTTTCATAGACAGACACATTTCTACGTGCAGCACAAGTTTAGACCATCTTTAATCATGACTTATTTTCAGACTCTTTTATCACAGTGAAAAAAGTTTTAGATCAATTCCCTGCTTCTATCCAATATGTCACCAATATGTCACACTTGTCATTATACTGAACAGGTGCATTTCAGGGTGGGGGGAGAGATCCCTACATACAAGACAATGCATGAGTGCCCGTACACAGTCTAATTTTATGCTGGTTATTCTGAAAGTTTCAGATGACTAAAAATATGATTTCCTTACCAAACAGAGGCCACGCCATCAGTAACTGAGACACCTAAACACTGTTCAGTACAGTTTATTGGCAGAAAACTGTCCAGGGCCCTACTAAACATACACAGCCTCATGTCCCTACCTCAAAGGAGATGCAAGTAAAAGAACATTAAGAACCACTGCTTTAAGCCAGGCTCGGTGGCTCAGCCTGTAATCCCGCACCTTTGGGAGGCTGAGGTGAGTGGACTGCCTGAGCCCGCAGGTTCATGACCCGCCTGGGCAACTTGGTGAGATCTCATCTCCACAATAAATCGAAAATTAGTTGGGCGTGGTAGCGCGCGCCTGTAGTTCCAGCTACTTGGAAGGCTGAGGCGGAAGGATCTCCGGAGCCCAGCAGGTCGAGGCTGCGGTGGTCACTGCACTCCAGTCTAGGCGACAGAGTGAGACTCCAACTCAAAAAAAGAACCATTGCTTTGAAAAGGAGGATAAGGCCAGAGTAAGGAGTTTAAGGTGGGAGGATGATGTGAGCCCCGGAGTTCTAAAGGTCATGGGAGAACTGTGCTTGGCATGAAAGTGCTTAGCACATGTATGTGCTCCTCCTTGGTCAAGGTCATTTAGTGGCAGATTCAGGAAATATAATTGGGACGATTTGGTCCTAGCTGAGGGCTCTGAGTCCTAGGAACCAGCACCTGGGTGGATCCCACAAGAGATCCCTATCTGGGTCGAAGCTGGTCCCGCACTGGTGTCCCAGGCCTTAAGCCAGGTACCAGGGGTGACACCAGCTCCATGGAGTTCTGTGGATTTGGATTCTGGTAGCACAGCCCAGGGCAGCCACAGGCAAGGGAGAGTGGGCATGGGGTCCTGAGAAGCAGGCAGCATCTGTGGGACCTAGTCCACCCCTTTCCAGAGAAGTGACAGGCACTCCCAGGCCCTCCTATGCAGAACACACATGCAGAAATAGCGAGGGTAGGACAGAAGGTCGTGCTTAACTAAAAATACAGCCACACAAGCGTGCAGAAGAAAACTTCCACCGCACAGTCCTCTTCCGAGTCAAAATCCCCTTGTGGTTCATTCTGAGTGAGATGATAGGGCACGCCGTCATCTTGGGCAAATTAAAAGTCACCCACCAATTACGATGAGCTGGGCTCTCTAGACACCCTCACATCCCTCTCAGGCCAAGACACACACTCATCCCCCATGAGGGTGACCGGTGACTATCCAAGCATAAAGAATGCCCAACAACACAGAGAGCAAACCTAAGATGTGAAAAAGCATAGGTATGAGAGCATCCGAACAGAGGAAATCATTCAGGGCTATTAAAGCCGATGTGGAGCTGATCACATAGAGTTACTTAGGGTCACAGTAATACACTGAGCCTGAGGGAGCCAGGACATCAACACACGGGGGTGGGGGTACTCCCCAGGGCCTGGCAGATGGCCACGGCTAAACCTTTGTGGCTGTGAAGTGTGAAAAGCAAGGCCTGGCTCTCGACAAAACCCGCGATCACACATAGCCAAGGAAAGCCAGGAGGCGTGGCACACGATAAAAGATTGCACAGCTCAGTGCTGGAGAACACAAAAGACACCACGCTGGCATCACATGTCCTGCCGGTGAAATAGCCTCAGGACAGATGGAGGAGAGGCACGCGGGAGACAGCCCCACACCAGCTGCTGGCCTCCTACTGCAAAGAGAGCGACTTCCCTGACAGAAATCAGAGGTGGAGAGAAAGCAGTTGGTGCATGTACACAGCACTGCTGCCGGCAGGAGCAGAGACTTCTTTCCCCAGACGACAGAGCTGTATCCCCACCTCTCCCACCTTCCTGTTGGTGACCTCTAGCCTGCTCAGGACATCATCCCACAAATATGAATGAAAGCACTCAGCACTGACTCTGGGAAGGGTGGGATGTAGGTGGGGGTCACCTGTCTTCCCTGAACAGGGACAGAGGCTCAGGAGCCCTGGGCACTTCCTGCAAGCGGAAAGCAGTGTCCCCCCAGCTCCTGACTCCCTACCCTTCCCATGTCCCCCAGTCAGGGACACTCCAGCAGTAGCTGTTCTGCATGGTCGTCAGAACCCCTCAAGCTACACATGAGCCATTCCTCAGAGCTTCTCCAGAGGGCTCTTCCCTGGAGGCCATGCCCGGGCCCCTGCCCACCTCTCCGTGGCGCCCTGTGCCGACGTGGCCCTCGCACGCTGCAGCTCCTCCTCCAGCCGCCCCCGCTCTGCCTCCAGCCGGGCCACGTCTCCTGCCGAGCGGCGCTGCTGAATGATGAGCTGGAGCTCCTGAAGCAGGGCCTCCTTCTCCTTGACGAGCTGCAGCCGGTCCCTGTCAGCCTCGGCCGTGCCGGGCCAGGACTCGTTATCCAGCCGGGCCAGCTGCTGCTGGATGCTGGAGACTCTGCGAGAGAAAGGGGGAGAGAGGTGGGAAGGTCAGTGCACCGAAACGCCATCTTCACACCTGCTCAGGATGCCACTCCGACCCTGTCCATGGACTATGCTAAGCAGTGAAATAACTCAAACCGAGGAGGACGTGGAAACGGTGGGTCAGGAAACGCTATGTCCTTTGCCGAATCTCCCTTAGCTTAGGTTCCAGGTGACAATCACCACAGTGTTCCTGTCTCAGACAACTGACAAAAAGGCTGGCAGCCCTTGACATGCCCATACTCTGTGTCACCTGGACTCCTGGTGCCCTACACGATACCACCCCAGAGTAGGAAGGAGCTGGCTCCCGTCTCCCACCCCACTTCATTGGTAGCTACCCACCTGCTGGCCCCCCAGAGATGCTGCTGGCCTCCTGCCTCCTTGGCTGTGCCTAACCACTGACAGCCGCCTTGACAAAGTAACAGGAGAGGAATGTGGCCACCATTGGGGCCTCTGAAGCCAGTACTCCATGTCTTCTGGTTCTGCGTGCTCCTTCCTGCACCAGAGACCTTGGGCATATATGAACTCAAAACACCTTGCAGAGAAAGAGGAGGTGCTCACCAAATGCTGAGCACACTGAACAGAACAGGCACGACTGCAAGTACAAGAGGGAGCGAGAGGCAGCCAGCCCCGAGTGTGTGAAAGCGGCAAGAGATCATCTGGGTGGGTGCAAACCTTGCCAGATGCATCAGCACAGTGATCCTCAAGGAAGAAAAACAGAGACTCATCACTTTCCCCACCCCTAAATTTCCAAGTGCTTGCCTGGCAGACAGCATCACGTTTTGTGTCCCAAAGTGCTGCTGAATGCAGATTAAGGAAAATAGACATGGGCTTAAATTTTTAAAGCATGCTTACGGATAGGAGTAGAATGTTTTGGCCCTTTCTGTAGGATTAAGGATGAAGAATATCTGGTTCCAGGCAGAAACTAGGAATGCCAGACTCAACCTGAACCCAGTGCTTTGGGCCCATGTGCACACGCCCCAAAACAAAACCTAAAGATGTTTCTGAGAACAGACAGCTATGAAAACAGGTAAACGGCAGGTGCACATAGCCCTGCAGCCACAAAGCAGTGTCCCCGGACTGGCAGTCTCAGCATTCCCGAAAAGTACGTTCCAAAGGCAGATTCCAGGTCCCATCCCAGACTTGCTGAATCTGACACTCTAGGGACAGGCCCTCCGGGGGCTTCAGATGTTCACTCACAGACAGTCACCGCTCTCAGACAGAGCTGCCTCCTCTACCGCCTGGCCTGGCCTGGAGGTTGCTGACTGGCCCTGGGGTTCTCAGAGGTCTGCATAGTGTGTCCTCGCTAAAATGAGCATGGCCTATGCAAGGCAGGAGTGCTTCTGGGACTGTTCCCCTCCTATGCCCAGGGTGCATGGCCCTAATCAAGGCTGGCTTCTTGCCTACTGGGTCCAGACCTCAGAATCCTCCTTGACACCTGCTCCATGTAGACACCCCCAACTGACTAGCATTGCCACACATGTTAAAACCTGCTGCCCAGCCCTGCGCCAAGTCAGGCTGCACATGAACTAGACCTGAGCCTGGGACTCATCGGCCTGGATGCAGGATGGGGCACAATTCCTTCTCCAGTTATCAAACCAATCTAAAAACCCACAGTTATGGAAGTTCAGGTATGCAAGTTACAAGCTAAATATATGCATTTTACTGAAGCCCAGCTCTCTAAGAAGGTAAAGAAACTAGTCGAACGTCAGTAGTTTTATTAGACAAGTTATTTTCTAACTTACTAATTTCCGGAAAATGTGTTAGAAAATGGTGCCAAATCATGTCACTGAAAAAACTAATGACAGAGGCAGCTGAACAGGGTTAGGAATCCAACTGGGCTTAAGCATTCACCTATGTCTAATTAGTGTAATTAAAATTTATGGCAGTCATATAACTGAGGCCCAAGGAAAACACACTCCAAGCAGACCAAATCAGACATTATACCCAATGACATTTCTGGAACATTCTACAGTAGTCTAAGACAAGTTAAAGACAAAGAATAAATACGAAAGACTTGAAGAACAATGAGCAAACCTACAATGTCCTCATACTTTTTTCATTCCCATTTATCTGATCCCCAGGAAAGCCTATCTGAGCTCAGCTAAAGATAGCCAGATCATTTTGTACTCACACTAATTATCATACATATCATACAAACAGACATATTAGAGCACTCCTTTGAGTTTTCTGAGACTTAAATGTGAGGAAATCAAGCTTCCCTTCAAGTCCGCCAGCTCAAGGTTAGCTGCTAACCTACAAGATGGGATTGCTGAGGGTGGCAGAAGGCAAATCTCCAGTAATATGCACTATCAGAAAAAAAGAATGAGGAGAACAAATGAACTACAGGAGGAAGGAGAGGCAAAGGGCAAGTTTCACAAGGCCTGCCTACCGCAGGCATAAAGAGAGAGAGCGGCCAAAATGGAACCATGTCCTGTAACTTTCCACAGCTGGCAGGGAGAATACACAAGGACATACGGCAAGGGACAAAATCTGGACAAGGCTGACTTCTTGCATCCCATCTGGAAATGCTGTTTGGCCGGTGCTGAACACCAGGCAACTGTTTCTGTGCTTAAGAATCGTGGGTTTTTCGATCATAAAATTTCACAACAATGCAAACAACTGCGTGCTCATTTCAGAGCTATCTATACATCTCGATGAATACTGGCATATGTTGGAAAGTGCAATTTCTTTCTTTGTCTCCATACTCCAGGTGTGGACATGTGGGGCCTGCTTCAGCAAGGTCAAGAGAGGTACGTCTATCTATCTGTCTGTACTGGAAGCCAAAAGCACTAGAAGGATTCCTTCAACAATTGATTGCTCGTACAGCTCCATGGGACAGACAGGATGGCTTTGCCTTTAAAACCCTATGCCTTGTCTACAGTGCTATGGGCCGGAAACGACCCATCTGCTGGGAGTATCATTAGGATGTTCGGTTTACTTGAAGAAACAGACTTCCTGCCTAAGGCTAAACACAGATGGCCTGAATTTCGATGCACCTTCTTCTGCATCCATGCCAAACAGGTGATCACTGGTTGGAACCCCCCCCTCCCGTGAGTACTGTCATTCCAATTCTGGGTATTAAAGGAAAAACAATTTCCAGAAGGATTTTTCTTTGAAATATCACTTCAGTGAAATTAAATACATGGAAGCAAAGCAAGGTCACGGTTGAAGTTTGCAGGAAAAAAAGAAAAAAAAACATTTCCCAAGCTCAAGCTCATTTGTAAAGAGAACTAAGAGCAGTTTAAAATTGGAAAGGGTTATTTTTCTCCAAGTCAACTATATTCTTTAGTGATTCTTATTTTGATTGACATTTTATGGCCTATATAAAACCTCTCACAAATGCCTTTACAAGCTTTAAAATAGATGGCCTCATGCCCTGATAGTGAAGAAATGAAAGCAAATGCTCAATCAAGCAATCAGGTTTCATATTTATTATGTGATTTCCAAATTCTATTCCCTAAGCAGGTCTAACATAGACAGACATAAAATATGAATCACTTTTCCCTTACGATTTTTGCCCAAACACCTTTTCTGTTACAACCCAGGCACCATTAAACCATGAATGGAAACATGTATTTATGCCACAGAAACTACTCAGACCCTCACAATTCACATGGAAATCTTCAATATAACTTGCAGTTTTCTAGGGAAAAAGTGTACTTTTAATAATAAAAAGTTTTGATGTCTATCAAGAGTAATCCCCAATTATTTGAATTTATACCTAACATCTGCAATCTAGTGTATATTTCTCATGTTCCTAAAATCCTGCTGCTTTCTGGAATAGCAAACAGAATCCCAGGCAGCCCATGGTCCCATCTGATGGTGATGAGTTGTGACAGATCTCAATGCCACATTCCAGGACATGGTGTCAGCCTACAGTCTCATGCCTTCAAATTTCAATTATGGCTACAGGTTTGATCCTTCTTAAGTTTTCTCTTAGTTTTATTTTTGTAACTATTTAAATGAAAAGCAAAGGTTAAAGAAAATGTCAAATGAGGTCTAAGTCAGAGATGGATGATGAAATCACTTGAGCTAACTGAACTAAATGCTGATAAACCAGCGTCCATTCTGCCAACTCTTCACAATGAAAATGTAATAAGTCTAAATCTAGAATATGCAGTGTCTACTAACACACCAAAATCTCACCCTGTCTTCAGCTCTTCCCTGCCCTGATATCTTCTCTCCTTGGAACAGATATATCTTCTTTAAATACAAAGCAGAAAGCCTACAGGCTTCTTCGCCTTGACCCAAATGGGGGGGATGGAGCTACAATGGCAAAGATGTTTTTCCTAGTTTCTCACAGCCGTACCCCAACCCCCAAAACCCAGAAACAAAGTCACTTGAGAAATGAAGGGAAAATCCACGTGACTGATCAAATTCAACTGGAATCATAACACTGCACTGATTCCTGACAACTGATGAACAGCAGGACTGATCCTGGCAACAAAAACTAAGACGCAGAGAAACTGGATGGAATGAATGTTTTGTTCCTATCTGGACTGAGTGTTTCTATGGCAACTGCTACAGTTTGTGCACAGTTCTGGAACAAGTGCTCTTAGGTTAAAAATAAGGAGCCATCTGCGTCACAGAGATTGCTTCAAGAAAACTTGCTTTTTCAACTTCACTTTCTGAAATTTTTAAGCCAGTAAGGCGAAAATACTCCTATCCTAAAGTCTGCCTTGAGAATACAAAGAGATGTTCCTGAAGGAAAAGGCACAAGCAGACCTTTTGGTACATTTCACAGGACCCAGAGTTGAAAACACACAACTGGTCACCATGAGAGTAGTTTGGTCAGATAATTCTCTAGAAATCACACCACCACTTGGAATTAAGAGTTCCACTTCGACAAACTTCCTTTAAATTTGAATACATAGAAAATTCCTCATGGTCCAGAACACTACATTTTGACAATTTCTCACATCTTGGAAACAACCTCAACTATAGATATACAAGGAAAGACTTCTCTGAAATGTA